AACAGTATAGTACAAAATGTGTAGGTAAGTACGAAGGTGCATAGGTACCACTTGGACTCTCCTAAAAATTCTTTAATTAAAGGTTTTTGTCTAACTGCTTAAACGTACTTTTTAAGTTACCATTATTACAAAACACATAGTACGTTTCTTAGGTAGCTCTTGAGCTTCCGAAGGGTAATATAAAGTTTTAAATGTAAAGCTTATTAGGGCTACTGAGTTTTAATTTCTTTTCTCACAAAGGAAAAGGGCAGCGTACGCTTTCATAATATCATCTCATAACGTGAAGGGTCTTGGAGTGAGAAAAAATATTAAGGTATATACAAAACATAATGCAGTTGCCAGGCTGGTAAGGTTACATTCTGCGAGAGATATATGTAAGAATAAATTATGCGATTGGGTACCTTTCGGTCTAAAGCTTCTTTTGGTCGTAATGATTATTTTTGCTATTAAAAAAATAGACAAATGTGTATTAAAGTATTCACAATGAAGCTACTTAGAATGTGTACTTGACTGTCCCCTAATATTCTTGTATGGTACGTTAAACTAGAAAAAAAGTCGGTAACATTTTATAATTAGAACGGAAAAGGCCCAAATACCCCCCTGAACTTTACGATAAGTTCCAAATACCCCTCTCGTTAAAAATTTGGCCCAATCCCAACCCTACCGTTACACTAATGGCCTATATACCCCCTTTATTTCAAACGTTTGCCACTGTGGATAAATTATCCACTCAAAAGTAGCCATGTGGAAATTAATATCAAAATAATCATTTTATTTTAATGTCCAACCCATACCCACTAACCCAACCCGTTACCTGACTAACCCGACCCATAAAATACAACCCGCCTCTTAAAAAACGTTACCCTTTACTTCTGCTTGGGTAAAATCAATTACCAAACTCCATGTTACCCTTTTGGTCGACTCCCCCAAAAATTCCGCCATCTCTCTGAAGCTTAATGAAGGTGGGTGCTGCTGAAACTCCATACCTATATAAAAGAAGATCTTCTTGTCAAGGTAAGTTTCTTTAGCTTCTTTTTTGTTACATTTTACTGTTGGGTCTAGGTTTTAGGTTTAAAATCGTTTTAACATGTACTTTGGGTCGAGTTAATATTTGTCTGTTTAAAAGCATTATATATGTATGTTTCTTGCTGGATTTTGTTTATTCTTGTATTTTTGTTCGGGATTTGGTGGGTCTTTGGTTGTCCCGATTCTGATGTTTGTCTTTTAGTGTTTTTTTATTCTTTTTTTTTTTTGTCTTTATCCGTATATGTTTGTTTATTGCTAGATTTTTGTTTATTCTCATATTTTTTGTTGGGATTTGGTGGGTCGGCTGTCCCGAAATCAGATTTGCTTTTAAGCTTTTTTATTTCATGCTTTATCTTTATACCTATATTTTATGATGTGGTCCCTTTTCCGTTGTTTTTTTTTTCTAGCTTTCGAAGGATGATTTCAGAGGTTGATGTTGAGGTTGGCACAGATTGTGAACATAGTCTTGGTTCAGATGGTGGTGAATATGAACCTTCAGATGGTGGGGAGTATGATTCTGATGAAATGGAGGGTATTAGCAATGAAAGGAGGAGGGTTTTAGATGATAGGTTGGAAAACTATAAGGAGTTGAAGCTAGGTATGTCATTTAAGGACATGAATGAAGGCAGAAAGGCTGTAAATTTCTATGCTTTAGCTAACAAAAAGGCTTTGAAGTTGATTAAATATGAAAAAGTAAGAACCAGGTATGCTTGTCAAGAAGGGTGTCCCTTTAGGTGTCTAATTTCTGAAGATGGGAAAACTGGTGGGTTCACGATTAAAACTTGGAAGGATACACACACATGTGATGATGCCTTTAAGAATCCTAGAGCTGATGCAGCCACATTAGCTCAGTATTTTAAGAGTAAGGTCCAAAATAACCCTAAATACATGATTAAAGATATGAGAGGTGAGCTTGAGCATGATTTGAAGTTAAATGTGAGTAGATCCAAATTGAAAAGGGCTAAGAATTTGGTTCTTCAGAAACTAGAGGGTAGTTTTATAGATGACTACAACAAACTTGAGGCATACTGCCAAGAACTTAGAATGTCTAATCCGGAAAGTGATGTAGTCATAAATATCTCCAAAGATGCACTAGCAGAAGGTAAGAGAAAATTTTTGAGAATGTACTTATGCTTTAATGCTTTGAAGCAAGGCTGGAAAAATGGTTTGAGACCATTAATTGGAGTAGATGGTACATTCTTAAAGGGTAGAACCAAGGGTCAGTTATTGGTTGTATTAGGACAAGATTCCATGAATCATTTCTACCCACTAGCATGGTCTGTGGTGGACAAGGAAACAAGCAGGACTTGGAGTTGGTTCATGGAGCTGTTGAAGTTGTCTTTGGAGCTTAAAACTGGTGCAGGAATCACATTCATATCAGATATGCAAAAGGTAAATAGTTCTGAATTTCTTACATTCTATATTTTAAAGTATATGATGGTTTGCACTAATAGTCTAATATTTCTTTTATTCTCTGTTTTGTAATTCATTTCACAGGGCTTGTTGGATGCTGTTAGCACAGTACTAGCTGAGGCTAACCATATGTACTGTGTGAGACATATTGAGGCCAATTGGTGCAAAAAATGGAGAAGTGGTGAAATGAGAAAGTTGTTATGGTGGTGTGCATGGAGTTCATATGATGAGGAGTTTAAAGACCAATTGAAAAAATTAGAGGATCTGTCAGAAGATGCTGCAAAGGATATCTTAAAGTATCCTCCAAGGGCATGGTGCAGGGCTTATCTTGATACCCAATGTAAGAATATGATGGTTGATAACAACTTCACTGAGTCGTTTAATGTCTGGATTCTTGAGGCTAGAGGAAAACCAATTATCAAAATGTTGGAGGACATAAGAGTGAAAGTGATGGTGTTGTTAGGAGACAATGAGGCTAAGGTGAGGAGTTGGAATGCAAAATATAGTCCAGCTTGCTTGAAGTTGTATAGTGATTGGAAGGGCATATCACATGATTGTAAAGTCATATTCAATGGAGATTGAGGATATGAAGTGTCTGAAGGAATTGATAGACATACTGTCAATCTACAACAGAGAAGGTGTACATGTAGGTTATGGGATTTATCTGGCCATTCCTTGCCCTCATGCAATAAAGGCAATGATGCATAAGGGAGTAGAGCCTGGTGGTGAAATCTATTGTGGTATAGTAAAGAAGCATATTTGCTAACATAAGGAAAAGCTTCAGCCTGTTAGGGGTCAGCAGTTCTGGAAAGTTGAACCTTCACAAGCCATGTTACCTCCTGATACTGTGAAGCAAGTTGGCAGACCCAAAGTGAAGAGAAATAGGGAACCGGATGAGGCAAGAAAAAGGATAGGGGAGTGGAGTCAGTCAAGGAAGGGTACGCAAATGACATGTAGTAATTGTGGTGAGCCAAACCACAATGCAAGGGGTTGTTACAAGGTAATATTTTTCCATATTGTTTGATTAAATAACAATAGTACTTAAATTGACTTTATTTTTTTTTACTTGTTAATAGCCTAAGGCTGCTGCAACTCAAGAAGATGCTGCAATGGAGAGTGACAATGAAGATGTTGGACCATTTGCTGCCTTCCAAGCTGCAAGCTGCAATGCTGATGTTGGACCATTTGCTGCTACCCAAGAGTTTACACCATATGGTCAGGAAGTTGACAATGAAGAAGATCCTCCACTTAGGCCAATGATTGTTTCAGAAACACAATCAAGGATTGAGAGGGGTAACCTAAGAGGACCTACTACTGGTGTAAGGAAAATTAAGTTTGCTGGAGATCACACTGGGCTTCGACACCTACCAATCTTCCTTATTCTCCAGCTAAGCTGACATGGAAGGGAAAAGCTGCAATCTCATCAAGCCAAGTCCAACTTGAGGCAAGAAAGAGAAATATCAAGATGATGGCAACAAATGGCAAAGGCAAACGAGTTGCACTTGATGATGAAGATCTTCTTTGAAGACAATTGTTATGTTTTTTGTTAGTTAAACAATTTGCTAAGGCTGCTGTTAAGTTTTTGCAAAACAGCTGTTAAGTTTCTGCTGTTAAGTTTTTGCTAAGGCTGTTGTTAAGTTTTTGCTAAACAGCTGTTAAGTTTCTGTTGTTAAGTTTTTGCTAAACAGCTGTTAAGTTTCTGCTAAGGCTGCTGTTAAGTTTCTGCCAAACAGCATTTAAGTTTCTGCTGTTAAGTTTTTGCTAAGGCTGCTGTTAAGTTTCTGCTTTTTGTAATCTGCTTCTTATTGAATTCTGCAAAACAGTTACTCAATTTTCAGTGTTAATGTTCCATGTTCTTGATACTGCTGCTTCTTATTCTGCTGCTTCTTATTACCAGTTGCAACTTGTATTTGAACATGTTCACTTTAGTCTTTCTACAATCAGGTGAATTGCATTAACCGTTAAAAAAGTAACAGCTCTTTGAGAAGGGACTAAAACTGCACCAATTTGATAAGACTATCGGACTATTAGTGCATCATGTCAAATAGTTAGATTTTGAGACAAAGCTCAAAGATAGGGGGAAAATCTGGGCCTTTTCTCAACAAAATAACATAGCGGAGCAGCAAAACTAGCTTCACTTTGCCCATCATTCTTGCTTCTAGACCAAGAGAAAAAGCTACACATCTAAATTGTGATGGTACAAAACTACAAACGTAATAGCAACATACAAATGCTTCATACTTGACAAATTCTCAAATTCCCACTTGCCTGTTTTTGGAGCTTAGCAAATGATAGACTTAAATCACTTGAATCATAACATGACAATGGTGTAAAAGATGACGGTGGATAATTAGTACTGTTGGCTACAGACTCTTTTGTGTAAGCCAACATGTTTTCTAGTGTTTGGGATGACATTTTTGTTGAGACAGCAATAGAAAATACAAGAATAATCTAATATAATTTAGAAACTACTTCAATCATTCGTTAATCTCCTGTACATACTTCTTCATTGAAATAGATAGATGGCCAACTGCAGAATGCTACTTTGGAAAACTGCACGTCTAAACCATTGAAATGAAATAACTTAAACTTCATTCCAAAACATAAAACTTCATTCCAAAACATAAAACATAAATTAAACCTTAATCATGTCAATTATACATAAACCTTGTTTGAACATCGGTTACATAATCACTTAAATATGTCAAATACACCTAAACTTTGGTTGAGCTTAAGTTAGCTATTTCATCATCCAAGCACACATAAACCCAACTAAGCAACACCATACCATACCAATGATATTCCATTTTTTCGGACTACTTTTCTTCACAAACACTAAACCTCCATCAATTTTTTCCTTAGAAACATCATTGTCTCCTTTAACATTATCTAATTCCTTGAAATCTTCAATTTTTGCAACATCCGCTGCTAAGACGCTTTCAATCTCGACAACCTTCATCAGGAGAAGATTCCTTTCTCGTCTAAGAGCTTCATTTTCATTCTTTAAGTTGCTGATCAGTGTTGTAACTCTAAGAGGAAGTTCATCGTCTACCCATTCCCAAAACTTACATTTCTGTCCCTGCACAACAATTACAATAAAATTATTGATAATTTTTGTTTGCCGGCATTATTTACCTAAACAAAAATATACAAACAATTCTTATAAAATTTACCTTAGGCATTGAACACTTGTTAAATCGTCTGCCGGCATTATTTGGAGTCCAAGCAGTGAATTGGCTAGCAGCAACTCCAGAACAGCATTTCCTCCTCGAACCATATGATGAACTCGAAGATCCTTAGCTCATTTTTTTAGAATTGAATGGTGAAAGATGGTGGGGGTATGGAGTTTCAGCAGCACCCACTTCGATTGGATTTCTTGGCATTAGCAGAAAGATGGTGGAATTTGATTTTTGACCCTTTTCCCTTGTTTAAGAGACGATAATGGGGGTAGGGTTTTTTAAGAGGCGGGTTATATTTATGGGTCGGGTTAGTCAGGTAACGGGTTGGGTTAGTGGGTATGGGTTGGACATTAAAATAAAATGATTATTTTGATATTAATTTCCACATGACTACTTTTGAGTGGATAACTTATCCACAGTGTCAAACGTTTGAAATAAAGGGGGTATATAGGCCATTAGTGTAACGGTAGGGTTGGGGTTGGGCCAAACTTTTAACGAGGGGGGTATTTGGACCTTATCGTATTCAGGGGATATTTGGACCTTTTCCGTAATTAGAATTGTAAAGTTGTTCTTTTTAGTTGTCTATTTTAATTACTTAATATGCCAACTGTAATGATAAATTTTATAGATTGTAGTAATTCTTAGCTATTCACAAAATTAATTTCTAAGAGGGTAAAACTGATGACCAAAATTGTTTTTAAAAGGACTAAAGTGAAAAGTATAAAGAAGTTTCTGTAGATGTTCCAAAATACTAGAAGAGTACTGATGTAAGATATATACCCTTCAAAAGTTTAAGGAGTGGCCAGGGGAACTGGAAAAATAACATCGGCAATACAGTGTATTTTTGGAGCAACTAAGCGAATAGGAAGATCATGTCTATTGAATAATAAGACAACGCGTGGCAATAAATAGGTACAAAGTGAATGTTTGGTTTATAATTAGGCTACTTTGTCAAGCAAATCCAAGGACATCACACATTACACTAAACAATTACCAGGTGATTTTCGCCGGAATCACATTCCTTGTTTCTCATCCCAAACATATTTCCGAAATGACCTTTCTGTTCTGTCTTCTTAATGTCCTCAGGCATAAAGGTGCGACTAGATCTTTTCCCCCTTTTCTCCCTTGGGCTAATTCGAATAAATTTGAAAGAGTTTAAGTTGTATATATTAATAGTGAAAATAATTCTTTGTACTATGAGATCAAGAAAAAATAATTACAGGTGATCCTTTATAGAAAGTGAGATTATTAACCGGAAAAATAACATGTTAAATGACACTAATTGCCTAAAAAAAGTTAGACTGTTAGTGTATAAATAAGTTGAGTCCAACTAGAAAAGGGTCCCCGAATTTATTATGCAAGACGATGTGTGTGCGCATATATATATATATATATATATATATATATATATATATATATATATATATATATATATATATATATATATGGTTTCCTTAATGTTAAAAAAATAAAATAACACCCAAATGTATAGCCTAGTGGTCAATGACGTGGGAGTAGATGAACCATGAGTTTTAAAGATCCAAATCCCAATGGATGCGAAAAATACTAGTTAGTGATTTCAGTCCGTAACGACCCGACCGCTCGTTTTAAGAATTAACGCACAGATCCCCTATTAACTGCATTCCCCGTGTTTGTTTCTGCTATTCTGAGTTGCCGGGGGATTCGTTTTGTGTTTTGGAATGTTTTGGGACACTTAGTCCCTAAATGAGAGTTTTAGCCTTAGAATTTGGACCATAGTCGCAGCAGTGTGAAGACGGCCTCGGAATCGAATTTCGTTGGTTCCATTAGCTCCGTTGGATGATTTTGGGCTTAGGGGCGTGTTTGGATTGTGTTTTTGAGGTCCGTAGCTTAATTAGACTTGAAATGCCGAAAGTCGAATTTTTGAAGCTTCCGGTTCATTAGTGAGATTTTGATATCGGGGTTGGAATGGAATTCCGGAAGTTGGAGTAGGTCTGTTGTGTCATTTGGGACGTGTGTGCAAAATTTCAGGTAATTCGGATGAGGTTTGATAGACTTTTTGATCAAAAGCGGGAATTTGAAGTTTTGTAATCCTTAGGCTTGAATCCGATGGTGTTTTGATGATTCGATGTTATTTTGAGTGTTCCGAAGGGTGGTACAAGTTTGAATAGTGGTATATTACTTGTTCGTATTTTTGGTTGAGGTCCCGGGGGCCTCGAGATGATTTCGAAAGGTTGTCGGAAGAATTGGAAGTTGTTTGGAGCAGCATCAGTTGCTGATCTTCTGTCATAACAGCACATGCGATGCGGGACCGCAGGTGCGGAGGCACAGAAGCGACGTTGGCATCGCAGAAGCGGAAAAGGAGAGGGCCAGCAGGGACCGCAGAAGCGACGCCGCATCTGCGTAAAAGTGGTCGCAGGTGCGGAAGCTGGACTTTAATGAAAAAGTTGCAGGTTCGACTTGGTCTATGCAGAAGCGGGACTGCAGGTGCAGTCCCAGAGCCGCAAATGCGGTTCCACTGATCAGAAAAAGGGCAGAAACGTGGGTTTAGTGTCGAACCTTAGAAATTTGATTTGGCAGCTCGAGATTGGCGATTTTGGGAGAGATTTTCACCTGGGTATTTTGGGTAAGTAATTCTTACTCGGGTTTGATTAATTTCCACGAACCTATGCTTAAATTCATCCTTTAAATTCGAATTTAGGGGGAAAATTTGGAGAAAAATTGGAAAAGTTCTTAGGCCTAATTTTGGAGTTTTGATCAAGATTTTGATGTCGGATTGGAGTGATTTCTGTAGATATAAACTCGTGAGAGTGTGAGGATTCCGAATTTGTAAACTTTATTCGATTCCGAGACGTGGGCCTGGGGGGCTTTTGGGCGATTTTCGTAATTTCGCGTAGTAGCTTCGAATTAATTAGTTGAATTAGTTACTTGAAGTTATATTTACATTATGCAATTACTTTGAATAGATTTGGGCCATTTGGAGTCGGATACTCGTGGAAAGAACGTGGTATTGAGTTGATTGAGCTGGTTCGAGGTAAGTGGCTTGCCTAACCTTGTGTGGGGGAACTCCTCTTAGGAATTGGTACTGTGATATATGAAATGCGTTGTACGTGAGGTGACGAGTGCGTATATGTGCTAATTGTTGAAAATCCTGTTTTCATTAAGTAACTATAATTTCGTTTTCTTCCCTGTTTTTACTAATTGCAATTTAACCCTAATGTTAGCTTATGAAAGCATGTCTAAGTGACTTAACTGTTTTACTTGCCCAAACTGCCTTATTCGAATTCTGTGCAGCATGTTAGGCTAGAAATACCTGTTTTATCTTGGTATAAATTTGATTGAATTGAATATCCTTCGTGTTGCTGCTGTGTGTTTATTTTGGGACTACGGGGGTTATCCCGGGAGATCCCCTTGCCTGTTTTATTTAGGACTACGGATGTGGTATTCCGGGAGATCCCCCTGCACTTTTACGTTGTAACTACGGGACTGCACCCAGTAGATTTCCCCAGTATTGAGTATTTATATTCGGGACTACGGTGTGGTATTCCGGGAGATCCCCTGCGCATTTTGAGTTGGAAAACGGGAGGACACCCGGGAGATCCACTGGATATTTATATTGAGGACTACAGGACGGTATCTTGGGAGATCCCCGTTGTTATCTATGTGTTGAGTTGTATTCCTTCTGTGATTATTTGTCTTTGTTGTAGTTGTTGCTGTTCTTTTTACCCTGTGTTACTTTAATACTGCTTCTTTTTCTTATATATTATTGTATATAACCGGTAGGGCCCTGACCTTCCTCGTCACTACTCGACCGAGGTTAGGCTTGGCACTTACTGGGTACCACTGTAGTGTACTCATGCCCTTTTCTGCACATGTTTTTCGTGTGCAGATCCAGGTACTTCGACTCATCCCTACTACCCTTGAGGCGAGGCGATTCTCCAGATACTTTGAGGTATATCTGCCGCGTCCGCAGACCGAGGAGTCCCTTTCCATTCTCTCTCTTGTATTGATAGCCCTTCTATCTTTTCTTTTGATTTCGATATTCCGGAGTTAGAGCATTATGTCGTATTCATAGCTTGTGATTCATGGGATTCCGGGTTTTGGGAGTTGTTCGGTTTTTGAGATCTTGTATTGTATATGCCAATGGCATCTTAACACTTTTATATTGTTATCTTCGATTTTATATTAGTTTTTCCACATTTGTTTTCTTTTTCCGCAATTAACCGTCACGACATGTTCACGGAGGGCGAACTGGGGTCGTGACAAGTTGGTATCAGAGCTCTAGGTTCATAGGAGTCATGAATCACAAGCCGGTTTATTAGAGTCTCGCGGATCGGCACGGAGACGTCTGTGCTTATCCACGAGAGGCTATGTAACTGTTAAGAAAATTTTCACTTCATTTGAATTCCTTGTCGAGAATTTTTGGCATCAAAATTCTAAACTTTTGTCTTCTATTCTCTCACAGATGGTGATGACACGTGCTATTAGAGGTGACCAGATACCCGCGCCCCCTGCAAGAGCCGTCAGAGATCGAGGCCGGGGTAGAGGCCGAGGACGCGCACGCGGTGCAGCTAGATCACCCGCGCGAGCTGCTACCGAGGAGCCACCGCCAGTTCCAGCTGGAGCCTAGGCGCCTGACACGCCTACTGCTACTACCACTCCAGCTCTCCAGGAAACTCTTGTGCAGTTTATGGGTATGTGCACCACTCTAGCTCAGGCAGGCTTGCTTCCCCTTACTGCAGCCACATCCCAGGCCGGGGAAGAAGCGCAAACTCCCGCCGCCCGTACTCCTGAGCAGCGAGTGCATGTCGAGCATGTCCCAGAAATTATACCGGCACAGCCTGTAGCCCCAGCTCATCCCGAGGAGAGGGCAGTAGCTTCAAAGGAGGAGCAGAATATGCTTAAGAGGTTCAAGAAGTATCAGCCTCCTATATTCAGTGGACTAGCATCAGATGATGCTCTGGGATTTCTAGAGGAGTGCTACCGTATCCTCCGTGCAATGGGTATATCAGGATCGAGCGGGGTTTCCTTCACTGCCTTCCAGCTTCGAGGAGCCGCCTATCAGTGGTGGCGTGCTTACGAGTTAGACAGTCCGAATGAGGCAGCTTCCCTGACTTGGATTCAGTTTTCAGATATGTTCACGAGAGAGTATGTTCCCTAGAGCTCAGGGACGCTTGGCGCGCAGAGTTTGAGCATTTGCTCTAGGGTACTATGACTGTCTCGGAGTATGTTGTCCGTTTCAGTGACTTGGCTAGACATGCATCAGCTTTGGTTTCTACTGTTTGCGAGAAAGTTCGCAGGTTTATTGAGGGGCTTATTCCC